TTAACTTCCTGTCGATATTATGTTTTAAGCAATCTCTTTTGTTGTTCTAACTCTTTCATCTCCCTTCTACCTTTTTTCATGCTATCTTCTCTTCATCTCTCTTTTGTTTATTCCTTCCCGTCAAAAAAGATAAATAGAGAAAAAATAGACTTCCCTCATTCTGTCATTTATGCCCCTCACACCCAGGTTTCCCGTCTTTTTTCTTTTGTTCTTTTGTTACCTCTTCAGCATTAAAAAAAAAAAAAAAAAAAACACGAAGAAAAAACAACGGAATATGATTTGTTTCTTTCCTCTTTTTGTTTTACCGAAATTTTGTTGACAGGTATGAAACTCAAATGCCTTTCCATCTAATCCACAATCTACTTGATAGAGGTATAGATGTATTGATCCTCTTATTGATTTCTCTCCTGAAACATTCAACTTCGCTGTATATTCATGTTTTTTCTTCTGTAGATCAAAGTGAGCTTTCTTCTTGTTCTTTTAGTGTGAACATAATTGCATGCATCTTTTTTTTTTTTTCGCTTTTTTTTTTTTTTTCTTAGTCATATACATGGAAAAGAAGTAAAGAAGAAAAAGATAACAAAAACAGTATGCGCTTTCCGAAATCTATTCTCCATTCACCTCAAAAAATGCATGTATTGATATGTTTCCACATAAGTATTCCTCATGGTATCTACTTTTTTTTTTCTTTTTGCTGTCTTCGTTTTTTTTTTTTTTTTTCTTCTTCTTCGTTTTTGGTTTATTTACTATTATCCTGCTCTCCCGCTACCGCGATTTGCTTTTTCATCGTTTTTTTTTTTTTTTCCTTTCGTTTTTTTTTTTTTTTTTTTTTTTTTTTTTTTTTTTTTTTTTTTTACAAGATCACATCTTTATCAATTCCGTTCCGCAGAATCTTTTTTAGAAGCCCGCCATGCTTTTGCATTTCTTGTCAAATACTCAATCGCAAAGAAGCAAACCACTGTGTGCATCGCGCAACGGCAGAAGTATGGTAAAAAGGAGTCATACATCACTAACACGCCCTCTTCGCGGGCAATGCGAGCAATAGCTTGAACAACATTCGTGTATTTGACCTCTGGCGCCTGACCATTGGGCAGTTTACCCTTGCGTGCCTCAGCGGACATGCGTACACGTGCCATCTCCACAGGCATTGTGCAGAAAGAATAGAATAAGGCTGTGCATATGCTGGCAGCATTCACAACAAGACTATCTCCGTATGGAGCCACTCCCTTTCGTGCAGACCGTTCCAGGTTCTTACGACGCAAGAATGTTAATGTTTGATCGTGTACAGCCACTTGACAAACACCAACGAGGGCGGCACGGGAGGCGAGGGCCCCAACACCACGCCAGTAACCGGTAATACCATTTGCCGTGTACACCTGCTTTGCTGCATCCACCACCGTCACCTTCGCCGCACTTGTGGTTTGCAGCACCAAACACACTTCAATCGGTGAGCTCAGGAAACTTGCAAAGGCCCCGGAGAGAGCACCGGCCAGCGCGCGGTCTGCCAACGACGGGGCAACGTCGCCGCGGCCGCCCTTCAGAGAGATGAGAGCATCGCGGAAGATGGGATAACACCCAAGCCGCGCCGGCGCGTACACCACCTGACGAAGAAGACCAGAGGAGAGTCCCTTAAACGCACCGCGTTCACGCACTTTTTGCAGGCAGTCCATCTGAGAGGCGCCGCTGGGGGCCATCATCACAGTGTTCTTCCACATCTCAAATGGGTGGGTGAAAATCCAGCCAAACATGCCGGAAAACCCAGCGATGCCAATCGTCCATGATTTGGGGAGTGGAGTATCCTTCTTAACTCTCTTGTCTGTTGACATCTTCCACAAGTGACCAAAAGTAAACAGTCAAACTTTTTTTTTTGTATGTTGTTGACGGGAAAAAATAGCACAGATGAACGTATTGCCATAATCAAAATAAAAACCAACAAAAAAGAGAAAAGTAGAGAAAAGGAACATTTAGAAGAAAAAAAAAAAAAACATGAAAAAAAAAGTTTAGAATTTCAGTAATTAGAAACGAAAAAAAAAATGAAGAGAAATAAATAATTTCTTATTCCTCACTTTCCCACCAGTTGAATAAACTCTCTGTTTTCTATGTGCAAAGAATATATAAAGATTCGTGGAAGGTGGGTGAAAAAAAAAAAAACAAGTTTGCTGCACAAAATTCAAAACCATAAATTCTATTGATACGGGATACACCAACACGAGCATATAAATATACACATCCATGTATGTATAAATTTGGATACGTATATTATGCATGTAGTATATAACCCAGTACTCCTTCTTCTTCTTTCTTTTTTTTTTTATTGTCAACAGTAAAAACTTTCTATCATGCCTAGTGAGGTCCTCCTCGTGTTGCAATACTGTTTTTCCCACGATATCCACCTTGCTGAAGAATTGTACGTTGTCGCAAAGTCCCTCGCCAATGATCATACAACTGTGTGGATGTTCGACCAGGATGCCAGACATCGCGGTAAGCATGAAAAATGCTTTCGAATCTACCAGGTCCCTGTGCAAAACGTACTACTCCTCGCAAAATAGCCTCATCCTCTTCAGGAGTAAACTTGTGTCGTCGTTGTTTTAACGGAGTCTCTGAAGGTATTGTGCCACCCATTTTACTACTTTCAGGGACAGACTGATTCCCTTTTCTACTACGATGGTTTATATGATCTACCTGTCCACTACGTTTATAATCAAGAGAGTCACCAACAGCGTCAAAGGATGTTAAAGCACGTGTAGATCCTGGTAATGCGGGCATTCGTGCCAGTACACCAAGAGCATCGGAACACCCTACAGCATCCATATCACCATCATTACCCACATCTTGAACCTCACTTATTTTTTTACCGAAATTTGAAGTTGATTCACATACATGAACGACACGTCGTTCTATAGAATCATCAGATAAACGAAGATGTTTTGCCGTTCCAGAATGAGTATCTATTACAACATTAGGTGGTACGTTAAGAACTCCGCTTTTTTTAACTTTACAGCTTCGACATCGTTCATGTAGTACTGTACAAAGATCAGCAAGGTCAACCTGTAATTCAACCCCTGATGGAGAGGAAGACAGTACATCTTCTTCATTGTTAGGAGACGCAGGTACTTCCTCCAGTTGTTCAATAACACGACGGAGAAGTTTATCATCATTCCCAATCCTTTTTAATATAATGTATAACTCACTTGCTGTAAGTGGCTCTTGCTCTACAGATAGAGAAGTATCATCTGTCGTTACTTCACTCTCTTGCTGAGGATGCGTCTTATCAGATCTATTCAAGGAAGAACCAATTACAGCAGCTGCAATACCACTACGGTATGTACAAGTATGCCAAAAATGAGGGTCTTCATGCACAACGTTAAGAGCCAATGCAGCCAAAACAGCAAAATCATTACCTCGATGTATGTGATCCCGCATAATCTCGTGGAAAACGGTAAAGTCCACAGGAGGAGCAGAAATAGGGGAACAGTGTATGTTCGACATCTGTATCAATTAAAAACCGATCCCAAAACGCAAAACTAAACAATAAAAAGAAAAAAAAAAAAAAAACAGTGACGAATCCACACTCAAATATTTCAAGGAAATATGAAATACAAAAACAGAAAAACTTTTAAGTTTTCCCTATCCTCTGGTTTATATGTATCCCTCTTCTATCTTCACTTTACCTCTCCAATAAACTCTATGCGTAATATTCCTAATGCAACCCCCTTTAGGGAAGATATACCGCTATAAAAAAAAAAGAAGAAAAAAAAATATATATATCATGAATACTTAAAATCAGACTCAAGGACCCGATAAAACTATAGAATCTTTCACCAACCAAATAAACTTTTTATTATTATCATTATTCTTGTTATTAGTAATCTATAGTATAACTTTGTGTAATTTTGCAGATACCCATACGGCAAACCAAGTATATATATATATATAAACATATAAATATGTGATTAAACTTCCCTTCACATCCCATATCTCGCTCTTTTACACAGATTTGTATACATACCAGTCTCTCCTCACCAAGGAGAAGGGATATTTTATTTAGAGAATGTGGTTTTAATCAATTGCAAAAATGTACCGGTTACTCAAGGGTAATTCAGCCATTCGTTCTCGAAGCTTGACTTCTGCTTCCTCTTGAAGTTTTGCAATATCAGCACGTTTCCGTAAACGTTCCGCCTCACGACGTGTCTCACGTTCAGCTTTGAGAGCCGTCTGGCGTTCATTCTCTTCCCGTTCCTCCAAACGTTCTTGGACATCTTTTCTCCAAGCATCCTGTCTTTGTTGCAGCATCTTTAACTCTTCCGTATCCTTTACTAAATCTACAGTTTCCTCCGAAGGAGTTACATCATTAGCGCTAGTTATTGTAGTTGTAGTTGCTTTATTTGATTCTTCCTCTTGGGCATGAGAGGGATCAACAAAGTCTACTTTATGGTCATCATTTTTCACGCTGTCTACTGTGGTAGCTACTTCTGTTTCTTTTTCTTCTTTAGCCTCTTTTTGATCCCTATTAGCATCTGCAGCAGCTTTTTCACGCTCAAGTCTTGCTGCTTGTACTTTTTCCATCATCAGACGAACCCGGTCTTGGTCTTTAATGCAAGAAAACTGAGGTTCAGAAATAATTTTTTCATTTTCTTTTTCAGGTGATTGCAAGTCCTTCTCTTGTTCAGAACGTGGCTCTAAAGAAGTATTTGTTTCACTTGGCGTTACTACTTTTGGTTCACTACAATCCACTGAAGAAGGGAGAACGACTTCTTCAGAACGTAAAGGGATAATTTTCTCTTTAAGGTCAGAAGTCTGATCGGTATCCCCAACTAATTGTTGCCGCATTTCTGCAGCTGTAATCCCAGTTGGAGCAGGTGGCACAACTCGTAGTACTAACGTCAATAAACCTTTACGCCGTTCAAACTTTGCCTCTTCTGGTGTGGCATCGACTGAAAAGGGTAGTATTACTATCCCATGATAGGGATGTGTATCGCTTTTTGCAATGGTAACGTAGGCGCCTTCCACTTCAATGCTTAGATCTCCTGCAGATTGTACACCGACAAACTCCATCTTGACAACGAGAAATTCTGGTATACCAACACGACGATCCACAACTTTCCAACCCCAAGCATCAGTGAGATCCATATGACCTCGGTGAACAATGCTATATTTTGGTAAATTTTCCCCACTTACCTCATTCGTTTTTGAATTTACACTCAAGTTAGATACTGGATTTCTTTCTGATTTCTTATCAGATTTCTCTTTGATGTAAGAAGAAGTAGTTTGAGTTTCTCGTTGATCATCAGATTTTGATGAAGAGAGTACTTTTGTTGGACCTTTAAGTGCCGGCTCATTTTTTGAGATTTCAAATGGTGATTTACCATCTTTTCGAGTGATTGTTTGGTTCTGTGGTGTTCCTACTGAACGTATACGACTCGAAAGGCGGCGGAATTCAAACCCATGACGATCCCCATAGCCAGTGTTAATATGTTCAACAGCTATATTTACAAGGAAACAACAAAAACGGTCGCTACGGTCTGCAAGTTGCAGCGTACGTGGATGAAACACGGCATCGTAAACCATTACGGACTCTTTTTTATCATCATCATCATCATTATCATCACTTTTCCCCTTCTCATTTCCGGATAATGCGACTTCTTCAGAGAATATCTCTGTTCTCGGTTTTGAAATAGATACTGGTACATGCCAGTTGCTCATCTGATTATCAGTTGCCGTTTCCTCTTTAAAGGGATCTATTTTTTCACTACTACACATATTAACAAAAACGCGGGGACTATTCCGCTGATTTTTCCCTTTTTTATCGTTCTCCGAACTACGCGACCGTTGAGAGACACGATACGATGTTGATGGCTCCAGTAATTCCACAACAAATCCGGGAGTGGGAAATACAAAGTCAAAACTGTAGTCACCACCTTCTTTAGCTTCACGCTCCACTTGCTGTAAGTACGCCTCCTCTTCGCGTCGTGTCTCCGGGTCTTCCATAGACTTCATATATTCATGAAAGAGCTGCACAAACTTTGGATCTTTCATCTTCTCTTGAATAGTTCGCAGCTCCTCAGGAGTAGGAGTGAACTTTTCGGCATCCTTCTTTCCTTTATTGGCAAAATTAACAGTTTCTAGTGGCATCACACACACACTCACCTTACTGTCGCTCCCAATGTTGGTTTGTTTACTGTCTAAATGGGGAAACGACAAACAAACAAAAAAAAAAAGATAAAGTGACAAAAGAGAAAAAAAAAAGGAAAAATAAAAAATAATGTCTTCAAACACGAAGGAGAAAGAAACCAAAATTATCACAGCAAAGGCACATATCATAGAAGGGGAAACCAAAATATAAGGCGAAAGGGCAGCCCGTACAATGTAGCAAAATTCCAAGGATTTTCAGAAGGTCTTACCCACATCATAAAGTAAAGGAGAGCAAATAAAAAGAGAGAAAATTTACACACATACACACACACAGAGAGAGAGAGAGAGAAATAACACAAAAAAAAAGCAAAGTAAAAAAAA